GAGACCTGACTTCACCTGTCTTTGAGTCTCCTGGCTGGCAAGTAGCTCATCCATACCCATACTAAGCGCCCCAGCGATAGAGGAAACGATAGAGGAGACACGCCATGCTGTTGACACGCCCATTGAGCACCACTAATTGCATACTCCATGAATGTTGATAACTCCCTCATCCCTTCTAGCCCGATAATTCAATAGACAGACTAGAGTGTAATGATGCATTCAGTAATGGGATGACACAACTTCGAAGCATATGTCATTGAACGTTTTTCACAACTAGCAAGATCTGACATAAAACTAAAACAGTTCAGAATCATAGAAGCACTGTCGCTAAGAAAATCAAGCACTCCATGGCTCCATCCCAAAAAATCATGTTTCGAAAGCACTATTGTCCCACCAAAAAAGTTTTTTGTCCCAAACAAGAGTCCATTTTTATCAAATGAAGCTAAATTTTCATTTTATTTACCAAAAGATGGTCAAAAAAATTACAAACAAGTTAATATAAATATGATATATTCAGTTAAGCCAACAAATAAATTTATAAATACAAATACAATACATGAAAAAAAAACTTTATCTATTATTGCCATTGATGAGAAATGATACCGTACTTGTAGACTTACACAGGAGACCCTCACGTTTTACCCTTAATTCGTACTCTTCTGGCCTTGAACAAGCCACTGCATAATGCCATCATATGATTATCAGGTTCTATTCCCTTATCCATCATCTCATTCACGAGACTGGCAGCCTTCTCTATACGCCCATGCCTATAAAATCCACACAGGAGGGCAGTGTATGTAACATTATCAGGTTCTACACCTCTATCAATCATCTCATTGAATAACTGAATAGCCTCTTCAAGGCTATCAGATTTGCAATGACTGTCGATCAAAGCGGTGTAGCATATTACATCAGCGGTCAACCCCATCTCCTTCATTTCACGCTGAAGAGCATGAACCGTTTTATCAGTTTTGTTCCATCCCCCTGCATGGAAAGATGACCCTGTCCCTGTTAAACCCTTAGAATGACCATCAAGCATAACTGTGTACGTGACCACATCTGGAAATATTCCCCTACTTATCATGCTCTCAAAAAGATTGTGTGCCTCCTGTAAGCAGTTAACTTTACAATAACCATTCAACATCATGGTATAAATAATTACATCGGGAGTTAACCCTCTCCACAACATATTATCAAACACCAACCTAGCTTTCTTCATCTCCCCAGCACGACATAAAGCGGCTATTATATGGTTGTACATCGACATACACGGGGCATTGCTTGAAGAAGATAGTACTATCTCAAATATACCTAGAGCCTGATTGTATTCACCTTCCACACAAAGGGCAGTCATTAGTTTCATGCCAGAACTCCTCCTTATAGACATACCTTGTTTGGACAGCATTAGAAAGAGCTTGTAAGCTTTACTTGTATTCCCTGACCGACAATATCCATTTATCATGGCAGCACAGTTTTCTATGGTTTTACACTCAAGATTATCAAAAAATAATTCAGCTTCCTTCACCATATGTCCCACGCAAAGACCCTCAATAATGACATTATATGTAACAGTGGTCGGTGTTAAACCTTGTTCCTTCATATAATCCAATAGGCTAAGTGTCTCTTGAACCAAACCATTTCTGGAAAGCCCGCCTAGAAGCACATTATATGTAACCACATCTGGTTCCGGTCCTTTTTCCTTAATTTCACTAAATAATGAAAATGCGTCCAATAATTGTCCGCTTCGGCAATAACCATTCATTAAAGTGCAGTAGTGCACAATGTCTGGTGTCATCCGCTTATCCTTCATCTCGTCTAACAACTTCAAAGCCTCTTTGAACTTTCCCAGCTTGCATAGTGCATCAATTGCAACATTATAAACAACCTCATCAAGAAAAACTCCAAGCTCCTTAAAAATGTTGAATTGTTCAACAACCTCAGATGTCATCCCGTTCTGGCACAAACACTGAAGAATAGAGCTAACAATCACACAATTAGTTTTAATGCCCTTTCTAGTCATCTCATTATGGACATCCAAAGCATTAGTGATTTTCCCTGCCTTGCAATAAGCATGAATTAGCACCCCGTGAGTATAATCATCAGGGACAAGACCTTGTTCTTCCATATCGAGTAAAAGAGACTGTGCTTCTGAAAACTTCCTTTCTTTGACTAATCCACGAACAACGACAGTAAAAGGAAATGCATTGAGGGGTACACCCATCTTTTTCCATTCTTGTAACACTACATAAGCCAAAGATGAGTGGCCGTGCAAGCAAAGGCCGTTGAGATACGCAGAATAAGTGAATTCATTAGGAATTACACCCAATTCCTCCATTTCCCCCAAAATACTAGATGCTTCTTCCAAATTCCCATTTTTACAAAGGGCTTTAATCACAATTCCGTATGTGTAAACATTTGGGTTAAACCCAAGCCTCTTCAATTGCTTATAAACAGCCACAGCCATATCCACTTTCCCATACTCAACAAGTCTGTTCATCAAAAAATTACAAGACAGTAATCGTGGACTAAAACCACGTCTCCTAGTAAAAATGATATTAATGGCCTCATCAAACATGCCCAAACTCACATAAGCCTTGACCAGTGCATCTAGGGTCCGAATTATAGAATCAGGGCTCTCACCATAGAGATCTTCCATCAATGCCTCAAGCAATTCTGCCATATCGAAACCCAAACTGTCATTATCTGCTTTTATCACCTCCAACAATATAGAATCTAATCTCATATCCATACCCCAATGACAAAGTATATGAATGATTGCCACGAAGGTATCAACATTGCACTTCAACCCACGATCCTTCATTTTCCGGAAGTATGATAATGCAGAAATTGGTTTGTTTCTTAGTTTGTAAAGCATTTCTGCAGCCCCATACGAGCTTACTTCAGAACAATCTTGGGCTAAATCAGAAGTGGTGAAATTACTGTTTGAATTTTCTCCATCAGAACTAGAATAATCTGAGATATAGCTCAGCTGCGCAAGTGCAGAGAATGGTTTGACTCGAATTGAAATAACACTTCTGAAATTTTTTCTCTTCCATACAGACCTCATTGCCCGCAGTGGCGGATCTAGCACACCTGCATTTTAAGTGTTCAGAATTACTTTACTATAAAAATTAAGAACAATGATATTATGTGATGCCACAATTCTACAATTGTATATTTGTCAATAAAAAAACTAGTGTATTGAGTAAACAACAACGCATAATATAATTATATACTCAGTATTAATCAAATATAATAAATCACTATAATTGTTCTATTATATGTTGCTTTATGCCAAACCTGCCTAAATAATTACACTGATATTAAATAAGAATTTCAAATATAAAGTAGACTTGTCTTCAACAATTCAACAAACCATTGCAATTATACAAATAAATTAAGCAAACAACCATACAAATCTTCATAAAACAACAAACTATAATACAGATTAAGTATCCTGGTATCTAAAAGAGATGGACTAATATATTGAGGTGATCTTAAAGAGCACTCAAATTAAGCATCACTCATACTCATACTCATTTCTCCTCTAATTCCTTATTTCCTTCCTCTCCTTTTAATGAAAATTATTCAAGCATAAATAGCTAAAAGGGCCGACCTTTAATTCAATAATTTGTATAGAATCAAAGATTCACCAACCGAAATCCACTACCCACATATTTACCTAAAAATAGATCTCCCAACATCTCCCCAATCTGGATTCTCAATTAACTCAATCAACCGAAAGGCAATTAGGCAAACAATGGGAATTTGAATCGATACAATTTCCAGATTAGGCTTAAAATAAATCCAGTCGTAATTGCTAAATAAGGCAAGCCTGTGAGGATGGACTAACCAGGAGTTCAAGAGATCGGGATGCTAGAGCGAGGTTTGGAGGCTGGCCACAGGAGCAAGTGAGCGAGGTTGCTAGGATAGCAAGACAAAGGACCCGATATCGAACTTCGGAGCCTCGGAGACCTAAAATTAACAGCGAGTGGAGACACTGCAATAGCCAACAATGCGAAGAGTCGAAGACAGTGACAGGGACTTGTCGCTGGCGTCTTGTGAGGTGGAGGAGCAAGCTGGGAGCAGCTAGGTCTGTAAACTAAATGAGTCAAGTTGTTCCTTGTTATTTTTCAAGTCCCAACAACCTCAGTGAGTCACGTTGTTCGAAAAAAAGTTTATTTTCAAATAAAAATGTGTAGGTGATTGAACTAAATCTACATGTTATCAGTGGGATAATAGGATGGTGAATTTTATAAGTAATAATCTAGTGATAGGAGATGATGTGATCGTATTATACAATTCGGCAAATTGTAAACTGCATACCAGGAAATGCAGCGATGGCCCTTCATGGATCCTCCATCTTTCAATATTCTTCATAACTTCTTGTTTCATGACCTTGACTATTGTGAAATTCAGGACTACATATTCAAGAACACCGCACAATAAGTCATCAATAAACCGTTGAACCCTAATTTTTAATTCATTAATCCAAGCACACAAGCCTAACCAAAATAACATATGGTTGCAATATTGAATTGCTAAGCAATGAGGGTATTTCACAGAACCCGGGAGAGTGAAGAACCGAAGGAGAAGAAGAAGAAGAAGTTTCCTGGGTTTGGGAATTCTGGTACAAACCGGGCAAGATTATTTTGGACTGGGACTGACTCTAATTGCCCTTGGACCAGGCCCCGTCCCTCCGCCCCTGGTGGAGACGCTGCAAGGACTCGCCACTGGCGTCTTGCGAGGTGGAGGAGCAAGCTCCGACCGGCCAGGGCTGCAGGATTGTTGTGCTGCTAAGTGAGAGTTGAGGTGTGAAGGAAATCAAAACGACATCTTTTTTTCAGGAATTAAAACCTCAAAAGTTTTAATATTTTTAAGGAATTAAAACGAAAAGGATTATCTTGGCGCACCCAACAAATCATTTTTTGGACAATTATACCCTTCTCCATGAGTATCATCCGGAAATGCAGTTGCCGTATTTTTTGGACAACAAATCATTTCGTTTAGGGGTAATCAGCTCCTAAACGAAATCTTTTTTCTTGCAAAGAAAAAAACATCTTTTTTTTAACTCGCTGAACTGCTCAGCGTCGGCTGGCGTCGCCGACAGCCCAAGACTCCCATTCCGGCCAGTCGCCTGCTGTGCCCTGCTCCACAGCCTCCTGCCCCCCATTCTAAGTCGGCAATCTCTCTGCCTCTCTCTCGGGCTTGGCACTGGGGAGTCAGGTAAGTTTTGTAAATTTCTCTACTGTGCTAAGGTGCACAACTCACACTGCATCTCTTTGTGAGGCAACTTCATTTGGAACAATTCTTTTTCTTTTATACAGAAGATAGATAGATTGGTAGATTTGGGGTTTTCCCTTTTTTGCAGAAAGTAATAACTGATGTAAAGATAACCATACATGCTGCTTCGACGCATGTACTATTTCTTACCTTCCCTATCGAAACCCTCATTGTTATTCTCTCCTCATTCCAAAATCTTGGCTCATATTCCCCTTAAGCTTGGTAATGCTGAAGCCTGGCGGGCAATTCAATCCTCCTTGAACAGACCGAACCATTTCTCTACAGTCTTGCATCTTATCCAAGAAGAAGATACAATAACCTCTTCCAAAAAGATGTCAAAAAAGGCCCGGCGTGAAGCTCCTGGAAATGTTCTTCGGTTTAAACTACAGCGTTGCTCAAAAAGTGGTGACTTGAAAGAAGCTCTGCGCCTTTATCACGAAGCCAAGTTGAATGGAGTTGAATTAAATGTAAACCATTATAATTCTTTGCTCTATTTGTGTTCGGTTTGGAGTTCTAAAGATGATGCAGAATCCAAAGAATTCGGCATTCAGGAGGGTTTTAATATTTTTAGGATAATGGGGTTGAAGAACATTCTTCCAAATGAGGGTACGTTCACTAATGTTGCAAGGTTAGCTGCAGCTAAGGAAGACCCTGTTTTGGCTTTTGATTTGGTGAAACAAATGAAGGATTCTTGTATTCCTCCTAAGCTGAGGTCGTATGGACCAGCCTTGTTTGGCTTTTGCAAGAAAGGAATGCCAGATGAGGCTTATGAAGTCGATTGCCATATGCTAGAATCAGGGTTAGTCCCAGAAGAGGAAGAGCTTTCTGCTCTATTAAAGGTGAGTTGTGAGTCAAAACGCGTTGAGAAAGTATATGAATTGATGCATAGGTTAAGGGCGTCTGTTAGGCAAGTGTCGGAAAACACTGCTACCATTGTGGAAGATTGGTTTAGGTCAGAAACTGCTGCAGGGGTTGGGATAGAAAAGTGGAATGTGGAGAAGGTGAAAAATGGTGTGTTGAAGGGTGGGGGTGGGTGGCACGGGCAAGGTTGGTTGGGTAAGGGAGAATGGGAAGTTGTGAGAACTAAAATGGGTGAGAGAGGCGTGTGCCATTCATGTAGAGAAAAGCTTGTAAGCATTGATATTGATTTGATCGAGACTGAGAATTTCGCTAATTCATTGGCAAAGTTGGCTTCTGAAAGGGAGGCCAAAAATTCATTTTATCACTTTCAGGTATGGCTAATTGACTAATTGTTTTTCTTAGAAGAACTCACTTTCACTTATCTTCTGTTGAAGTTTATCATTATGGTTTACTGTATATACACTTCAAGTGGTTGCTATCTACTTAAACTTAATTATTAGGGTTCTAGGTATTTAGATGTTTGCCTTTTTTATCCCCTCAGAATTGTACAACTTTTGTGTTGGAAGATTGTCATGACATTATATAAAACATTAAAAAATTAAAAGAGCACCCTGGTGCACATTGGCATCCCTGCAAGGCGAGGGTCCCGGGAAGGTTCCCACCACAAGGGTGTGTAAGGAGCAAGCTTTCCCTTGTCATTTTGACAAGAGGTCACTCCCAAGACTTGACCCCGTGACCTCTTGGTCATGTGATGAAATTTTATATGCAGACTTTCTTTTTGTATGGATGAGAATGAAAACAAGAACAAAATGGAGAGTGTTACAATCCCTCCATCCTGTTAAATACGGGTAACTGTTTGTCCCTATTCCCTCCCACATCATATATGCTTCCGATCTAGGCCACTCATGTATTTGTTTAATGCCGTGTTTGATTTTTGTTTTTGAAGGATTAAAATGTAAATCTTTTGGGATTAAGGCTTGGATGTTGTTTGTAAGGATTAAAATGTAATAGCAATATCATTATACCTGCCTTTCTTATAGATATAATTGATTTTCTTGCTAAACACACATGCAATGCCATAAAATTATTGGTTGATAATGACTTTGATTTCAAGACAATAGAGTGAATTTTCATCATTGATATGTCATCATTGAGTTTTTCTGCATGAAACACCACAAACAACCTAATCTGTAGTATAAAAACTACTTTTCATTCAGGAGTGGCTTAGGAGGAATGGTCCATTTGATGCAGTGGTAGATGGTGCAAATGTTGGCCTCATTAATAACCGAGACTTCAGTTTTTTACAGGTAGAGAACAATTGTTTTTCACACTACTTGTTTCTTCGTATTACCCCTCTTTCCTATCCATGGGATCAAGGGTATGTTTGGACCCTGGAATATAGGTATAGGGTAAACAAATGCCAAGGAATTATTTTTCTTATGCTTGGTTTTATCTTGGAAAATGCTAAGAAATATGATACTCCCTCAATCCCATTTTGTTTTCCCTATCATTCCATTTTAGGCCTCCCTAAATGTTTGTCTCATACTGAATTTACCCATATTTTGTGGCTCACAATCATTCTTTTACAAATTCAAAACCAACCACAAATTCCTATTTTCCATAATATTTGTGCCGAACCCCATCCCAAACTTATTGAGATGAAGCTAGCATATTTTTAGGTTTTCTAAAATTTTGCATACATTTAGATTTATAGTCTTTTTATGGTAGACAGAATAAAATGAGTATCAATGAATATCCAAGATAAACTTATTGAGTGCCAAACTCCTTCATATTTTCTCTATCTAATGCCCTCTATGTTTTTCCTGCTTTTTTTTTTATTTCCCTGGCATTTCCCTAGTTCTTCAGACCCCAAGAGTTCCCTGGGATGGGATGCAGTTATATATTCAAAAATAGGTCAAAAAAATGATATACAGACCCATCCTAGAATTTGGATGGCAATATGATTTTCCACTTAACTATTGTGTCCTTTTTTCATTAGCTCAAATCTGTTGTCAATGAGTTACATAAAAGAAGCAAATCAAAGAAGCTGCCACTTGTTATATTGCACACAAGTCGTGTAACGGGAGGACCTGCTGTGCATCCTAGGAACAAGAAGTTATTGGAAAGCTGGAGAAGTGCTGGTGCTCTTTATGCCACTCCGCAGGGTTCATGTGATGATTGGTAATATTCTTTAATGAAGCTTTTATCTCTCTATACTTATTCTGATATATGTTTTCTATTGAATTCTCCTATAAATATGCATGTGTCTGCCTTTGTTCTTTACTAGACAGTAGACATTCACAACCGTGAACAATGTTCGTCCATATCATCATCATTCAATATTTAGGAAATAATTAATGCATAATGTTACCTTTTTCTACAAAGTACTAGCTCATAGACTTCAACTCTTAAGAACAAGAAAATTTTGAATCAATACTTGCTTTTTCTGTAGGGGTAATGATATAGCTCGCACTAGTGCGAGCTATATCATTTACCCTTGCAAAAAGGAAGTCATGTATCGAATTTAACTATCCCAACTAAAGCATCCTATAACTTGCAGAAATAATGTGTAATACACGCACTGACGCACAGAAAACTAAAAAATCTATAAATATTACTTTTTGGCTTCCAAATTTCAACAGTTGTTCATTGCCAAAATTAGAAAGTTGTCACTTGACTAAACAAGACTCTATTTTGGGACTTAGGGAGTATCACTAAACTTGAAATAAACTTAATCGGAATGTATCAAGTATGAGTTTAAAATGCAGGTGACTTGTGTGATTTTGGAAAAATGTTAATAATGATTTCTACCAGTGGTGGGCAGCTTCGTAATTACAATTACAGGTCCATTATCTGTGAATATGATTTTAAAATCAACAGCATCACTAAAAATACTTCTACAGGTATTGGTTATATGCTGCGGTGAGTTGCAAGTGTTTGCTGGTCTCTAATGATGAGATGAGGGATCACATATTCCAGCTGTTAGGGAATGGCTTTGTCCCCAGATGGAAGGAAAAACACCAGGTACCATCCCTTGATATTGTTGAGTCAGTAGAGAGCTTTGGAGGGAAGACTTTCAAGGGATTAATCTATATCCTCATATATACTCCATCTGGCTCTATAAAGAGAGTCCTGCTTCAAGAGATTCTTTTATCCCATTTAAAGAGTACATTTCAAAAAATCAACTTCATTTGTAAGTAAAACTCCTGTAAAGGCTGCGGCATACAATTATAGTCAACCACTGCAAACAATCATAGAAATAAATTTAGGTGTATAGATGATCATTCGTAAGTTGTAAAAGTATAGTTGATGCAATGGACTAAAAATAAATCTTGTACCTTACTCATACATGTTTTTTATTTAGAACAGATGGAATAGAATGTTCATAAGATGAATAAAGGATGACGAAAATTTGAGATGTTATACGATCACTTATTATGGACAGATGCCGACAACAAGTTCTTTTAGGACTAAGGCTTGGATGTTGGTTGTGTATGATCACTGATTATGTTATTCCTTCACTTTTTGTACAATGTCAAATATATCTTAAGATAGACTCTGCCCTCCATAACCCAACCTCTCCGAAACCCTCCTACCAAAAGGAACCTTAGGGTCTGTTTGGATGGATGTTTTTTTTTTTTTGGGGGGGGGGGGGTGGGAGTTGAAGGATTTGGAATATTTGTTTTGAGAGGAATGCTTAGTGTCTATCTTGATATATAAATATAAATATATATATATATATATATATATATATGATATGTGTTTTGTACAAATTATAAGGTTGATATGCAATTGTATAACACTTCATGATTATTCTCTATCTTGATATATACGTAGTATTTACCTTTTGTACAAATTATAAGCTTAACTTACTTAATATGTACTTGTATAACACTTCATACACCTTTTATTTATTTTTAGAATATTATACTTATCAAGATGTAAATTAATCCCTTCAAAGCTTTCTATTGAAACAGACCCTTATGGGGTTGTATACGGCTCGAATTGGATTGGCATCAAATGATATTTCTGCAGTAGTGTAAATGGTGTTATTTTGTGGAATGTCATCATATGTATATTTAAAATGCCAGATCCGGATGACTGCATCTAGGGAAGAGGGACTTAAGCTACACATGCCTCCTCCATATTCAATTGTTATTCAAGTGAGTTATATACCCAATAAAACTAATAGTTGCTTATTCTTTGATTTAAAAAGATATTTCTGTCCCTATTTTGGTGATAAATGGTAATGCAATTCCAGGAGTCGGAGGAGGGAAATTGGCATGTACCAACTGTAACAGGTGATGACCTTGAAACGCCCCGCCAGTGGCTATGTGCTACCCGGAAGAGGAGAAAGGCACTGCATAATCTCTTTTAGTTAGCATGTGTTTTTTCAAGTTCATCAACTTCAAGAAAGAGATTAGAATGAAATATTTTTTCGACAAATTACCCTCTTAATCTTTATTGTTAAAATTACCAGGCATTTTGTGGTTGTGTAAATTCATACGGAGTATAAGAGCCCGTTTGGAGAACTCTGTTTTCGGCTTATCAGGCTTATCAGCCAGCTTTTTCACCAAACACGTAACTTTTACTTTCGCGCGCTGAATTGTGTAATAAGCCGAAAAAGTAAGGTTGGAGTTACTTTTCTGGCTGCATTGGCTGAAGTTACTGTAGAGGACCATTTTAGCTATTTTTACATATAATTTTTTCTTTAATTTATTAATAAAATATATTTTTAAAATATTTTTTTCTTAAATCAGCAGAATCAGCCAAAACAGCCACTCCAGCCAGAATATCATAAATTTCAGCAGAATCAGCCAAAACAGCCGATTTTGATGCTACCAAACGGGCTCTAAAATTTGTTGTGGTGTGAAAACAAGTACAGTATCTTTTATAAGGTTGACACAAAATCCAATAATTTTTGGAATTTTGGTTTGTCATTCTATATTGCAAAATTTATTTATGCCTAAGAAGGACAAACCAACTATTCATGGTTAGTTGTTGAAGAGTTGAACTCGAGCCTTACCAGAGCCCTGATACTTTTTTAAGGGGGGTGTCCTCAATACGGATTCTTACGGATTTTAAAGGAATTTAGAATTCCGTAGGAATCCGGGTGTCCTCAATTTGGATTTGTATGGAGTCTACGAAAATCTGGGTGTCCTCAAACTATCCATGGATTCTTTAACTCTTGGATTCTTAAGGATTTACATCGATTTCAAAGTTAAAATACAAAGAAAGAATCTCACGCAAAATCTTGGCACTTCCCGTCAGATTTTAATGGATTTCCCGTCCAGAAGCAAAACCAGGCTAGAAGCAGAGCTAGTGTAATCACTGTTCTTTGATCTGTCTTCCTCATCAGTTATCTCTATCCACCATAGAATTTGGAAGAAGCAGAGCTCAGGCAATCCGTTCTTTTCAGAGTCGTTTCCTTCGTCTATCAAGTATCCTCCCTCTTCCTGGATATGCCGTTTCAATTCCTTAATGATAAATAGCAGCAGTGTGCGCAGATATGTTGACGCATAACAAAGGAGTAGACATAAAAAAGAGTATGAAAGGTAATATAACGCCTCAATAACTAAACAATTAAAAAATCAAAGGCAGCTAAGCTCTAGGATGGAGAAGTTGGGGGGCTTTCACGGTGGCGAGAAATATTGGATCGAAGGTGGGTGCTAAAAATGGGGGATTTCAAATTCCATGGAATTTGATTAGAATCTTACAGATTCTATTCAATTCCATATAAATCCAGCAAAGTCTCAATCCTTTAAAATCTTATAAATTCCTGATTGAGGACACCCCCATAAGTTTAGGAGCTAGCAGCACTCAATGAAATGAAAGGAATTCTAAAGGAGTGTTTGCAAACGTTTAAAAAGCACTTTTGCTGCTTTTAGCTTTGAAAAAGCTAAAAATTTTGCTTAAATTCAAGTACTGCCAAAAGTTGAAACATGAAAGGTGACTGTTGCTTGGTTTTGTGTGTTTCTTGGGTTTTTAGTAAATAAATGAGGAAAGAGTCAATTCAGTAGATCAACTTGTACGAGATGGAGTAAAGAGTACACTATATTGGATTTGATATTTTTAAGTATACAAATTTGGGGTTTTAGTGTTAAATGAGCACACTTGTTAGATTAACACGTTAATATAGTTGAGTTGGCTAACAGAATGATGAGTAAGAAGGGGTAATGGACCGAGATTATCACACCGACCTTCACGAAGTCGACCAAAAAGGAAAAATTGAACTTCGAAGGTTGACCTTTGGGAGGCATCGACCAGTAGGGTTGCATCGACCAAGGAGAACTCGATCTGCGGGGGTCTGACATCGACCAAGGGAAAGTCGATCAAGTGATTGGGGTCTGGCATAGGGATGGACTCGGGCCGGGCCAACCGGCCCGGAACCGGACCGACCCGCTACTGTGCGGGCCCGGACGGGCCCGGTGAACCGGTTAGTGCCCAGTTCGGGCCACCCGGCCCGGTGGGCTCCGGTTCCGGGCTCGGGCCCTCCATTTGGTGAACCGGCCCGGCCGGTTCGGGCCCGGTCTAGGCCGAATTTATATGGTTTTTTTCTGATTTTTTTTTTAAGTTTTTGGGTTGGGCTGGGTATTTTGGGCCATTTGAGGTGGTTTGGTGTGGTTTGGGGGTGAGGGGGTGGGTTGGGGGTTAAATAGGAGAAGCCAAAAAAAATTACAAACCGGGTGGCCCGGCCCGGAACCGGTGGCTACCGGTTCGGGCTCGAGCCCAACAAAATAGAACCGCGAACCAGCCTGGCCCAGGCCCGAACCAGGCCCGAACCGGAACCGGAACCGGTCCACCCCTAGTCTGGCATCGACCTTTAAGAAGTCGACCTATTAACATTTTGTTAGTCAACTCAGTCGTATTAAGTTATTAACGTGTTAATCTAAGGGGTGTACTCAATTAACACTAAAAAGTAAAAACCCGAATTTGTGTACTTAAAAAGGTCAAATGCAATATAGTGTATTCTTTACTCCATCTCATACAAGTTGTTGTACTCAATTGATCCTTATCTCGTAAATAAATAGTTCAAACTTTTAGGATAGGTATTTGGTAAACATATGCCATAAACCCCAAAATACCCATTCTAATTTATTATGACCGTATGAAAATCTCATTGTGCCTCACAAATTGGTGTTGCAGATGCTTGACTTGTGGCGACCATCCGTACGCCGGCGACATGCTACCTGGCACCATCCTTGAATTGGGGATCTGCCACCATCCTCGATGTGGCCACCCATCAAGGGCCTCATCTTAAGCTGTAGGCTACTGCTAGTAGCTTCAAAAAAGATTGGGGTACACACTTTTTGTACACAAAAAGTGTACACTTGTCTGTCTCCCACAGACAAGTTGTCTGTCGCGAGATGAGTTGTCTCTCCCACAGACAACTCATCTCGCGACAGACAACTTGTCCGTGGGAGACATACAAGTGTACACTTTTTGTGTACAAAAAGTGTGTACCCCTAGAATTACTTAGACTATCGGTGCTCATCACTTTTTGGCTTAAAAAAACACTTATTTACCAAGCACTACTAATTTTTACTTTTCTCCGTGAAAAGTGTTTTTCCTTTTTCTATTACACAAAAAGCACTTATTTACCAAACACTACCAACTTTTACTTTTCAAAATCACTTTTTTCTCAAAGACTATCAACTTTTATTATTAATCACTTTTTCCAAATCTATCCAAAAGTGCTTTTTCAAGCAGAAGCAGTTGCAAACACTCCATAGACCATGCGGCAATGGCTAGTGGGGTAGAGTCCCGTCCATTTATCTCTTCCGTTATTCATTTTAATTTGAGGGTATTTTTGTCTTTTAATACTACCTCCGTCCCATTTTATGTATCTTTATTTGACTTGACACAATTATTAATGAAGTGGTTGAAAAGGTAAAAGTTGTGGTTGAAGTTTAATTATAATAAAGTGATATGGTGTAGGACACATATTTCTTTGTAAAAAAAGAAAAGAAGACACTTATTTTAGGACAATTCAAAAAGGAAGGTAGGACAGGTAAAATGGGACGAAGGGAGTTACATATTACATCAAAACCACTTTTTCATCAAACACATTAACTCTTACTTTTTAATTAAAATCGTTTTTATTTTCAAACACTACCAACTTTTACTACAAAACTTTTTTTCAATAATCTTTTAAAAATCACTTATGAAAGCCAAGCAAATGCCAACGCTCCCGGAGTCAATGATAAAAGTTTGGGACTATGGGAGTGTTTGCAATTGCTTCAACTTAAAAAAAAATGATTTTGGGAAAAGTGATTAATAGTAAAAGTTGGTAGTGTTTGAAGAAAAAGTGATTCTGAAAAAGTAAAAGTTGGTAGTGTTTGGTAAAATAAGTATTTTTTGTGTAATAGAAAAAGTGAAAAACAGTTTTAAACACCCTTTCAACTGCTTCCAGCTTTTAGCTTTTAAGTGATTAATTTAAGCAGAAGTTGTCATTTGAAAACACTTTTTTTTAGCTTTTTTTAAGCCAAAAGCTGAAAAGTGCTTTTTTTAATCAACCGCAAACACTCCTTATGTCAACAGTCAACTTGAGGTGCTGAATGACCATGATGAGAATCCTTTTGGGGCGCCTTGTTAGAGAAAGTCCGTCAAAACAAAGGACTAAAAATTTGAAATCACTTTTATTCTTACACACAAACACATATTTACAAGGGATAATTAATTACAATATGGTGTTTGTGGTTGTGCACATTTTCAAATAGGGGCGTGATATTCATTTTTTTCACACAGTGGAGCATGTGATTTCAATTGGAGGGTATCCGTTCTAAATGTCGTAAAAAAGAAGGTGATGTGGATGCATACAAATGTGACATGTCACCTTTCTGATGGAGTTTAAAAGTTTGTCCTACTTTGTGAAAAAATGAACCTCATGCACAACTTGAAAATTTGTATAGCCACGAGTACTTTTTTTTTGTAGTTTGCCGTATTTACCATCGAGCTTATTTTCTATAATCACTAAAATCAATTATTTCTCATTTACAAGTACTCACGAACATTACTTTTGTTGCTCATTAAATACGTAAGCACTTTAGTTAGTTAGACAACAACATTACCTCAGTGCTGCAAAGGCTCCCACCTATGATAAGTAAGGGGAATCCCTGTTTTGACAAATTTAGGAAAATACATCATATAGTGATTATAGTGTTAAATACATCATAGTAACTAATATTTAATTTTTAAACTTAAGTGACTATGACACTATATTGTAGTAATTGTTAATTGTAAATAAATTTTAATATAGTAATATTTATGTAAAAAACTAAAAAAAGTAGAGTATAATTTAAGGTCTAGTTTTTTTCTTTGGCGAAATTGACACAAATTTATTAAAGACTGTTTAATAAAAATAATCCTCACTATGCTAACTATAACTATGCAGCCGGCCGTTTCTCTCTCTAGGGTTATCATCGGAGAACGCCTAGCTTGTGTCCACCGCCGGTATCGATTAGGTGGTCTCGACCACCGCCGTCGGTTGCTAGGTGGAGTGTG